GAGAGAGGGAGAGAGGGAGAGAGGGAGAGAGGGAGAGAGGGAGAGGGCCACAACTCCCTTCTCGACCCGACCTCATCCTACCTTGTAAGTGGGTGCCCCGCAAAGTGCCCCCCTCAAAGCTCCCCGCTATCTCTTCTCTCCTCAATCGTTGCCTGCTTCATGACCTCTTTCACGCCCGCGCCCGCGATCGCTGCATCTCCTTCCCCGCTTGCCTATCGAGGGGAATAGACAAGCCCCCCTTCACAATGCAGCGCGCCACAGCTATGGCTGTCAGCTCTCGACCTTCGCGGCACCCCATTCACTCCAGACAAACTACTGTTCCTTTCTCCCCTCCTCTCCTCCTCCCCCTGCTCCTCCTCCTCCTGCTCCTCCTCTTCTGCCTGATTGCCACCTGACTTCGCCCGCCACCGCCGATGCGTGAACCTCGTCCCTGGCACCCTGCTACCTCACCCGCGCCAGCGCGTTCCCCAGACTACATACTGTTGTGGGTCTGCGCTTGCCTCGTGTTCCTTTCCCTCCACGATTTGGACCATTTTTCTCGATTTATACGCGCCATCCTTGCGCAGGGTCCATGCCATGCTGATTCTGTATCGGTAGCGTCAAAAGTAAGCTGCCCAAAACAAACAGGGGAAAAAAAGCTGCTGGTCCTCGATTTCGCGTTCGCGGTTCGGCGGGCCTTGTGGCTTGCGCATAACCCACAATCCCGCCATAATTTTCAAACGGATAACTAGCTTTGAAAAGCACCTTTGTGGCGCGGTGCGAACTTCGAATGCTTGGAGAGGACCGGCGGCGGGGAAGGGATTCACAGCGCTAATTCGCAGCGCTAATTCGCGACTCAGGTGCCGGTAACGCGGCGGCGGTAATGCGAGAAGAGTAGGGAATTCTTACCGTTGGGGGCCTAGGGTTTTACCGTAGGTCTACTTCCCAACGTGTCAAACCATAGCCACGTAAGCTAGCAAGGCACACATGCCATAGCTTCGTAGGTTGTACTAGTTGGATCCTAGTCAAGCATGTGCAGCACTCACTAGTTGGATCCTAGTCAAGCATGTGCAGCACTCACCGTCCAATCGTCTACGAGGGCGGGATATCAAAGGAAGGACTGCGTACGGGCGTGAGCCCATGCTCTCACCGATCCCCCAGCGTTGCAAGCGTTAGCCACGTAGATGAACAACAACGCGGGCACGCCACCTACGAAGAAGTGGCATAGTCTCATATAACCACGAGCCAGAGTACATGCAGCTGTATTAACTCTGATAATCAGAAAAGGAGATATGATCCTCAAGTCAACACAATAAACCACAGGATTTTTTTTACAAATCTGTGGCGAGTCTCGTACGCGGGAATGTCTGTCGTCACATTCGTAATTCCTAAATCTTCATCTCATTGAGCCTTTCGTCTGAGCTGATCACTGAGTATGGCTGACACCACGCCGTCGAACACCAACCAGTCCGAAGAGGAAAAACAACGAATAAAAGGCATAATAGAGGATTGCTATGCCAAGGGTATCCTCCCTGAGGAATTTGCCCCCAGCATAGCAGACTCAGGCCATGACTTTGTCAGAGTGGTGGTAAATCAAAGATTCTACGAGATCCAGACGGAATAGTTGAACGAGCACGCCGTCTCAGTCCAGTTTGAGAACGATGCAACCTCTCTCCCAGCCTCAGTTAAAAACCAACTGATACGTATCTATGAGGACGGCTGGGCCCTCGCTGCACAGTTTAACCTGGCCCCTAAAAGGGGAGTCTTTAGATGCGATGGGAAAAACCTGGTTACATATGTAGCAAGCAACAAAGAGGTTGCCACCTGGATGATCAGGAAAGGGTCTGACACAATCGAATTGGATGGGAAGTTGTACTCTGTCAGGCTTCGTCCGTGGATGAATGAAAACGAACTATATTAATGGAATGAAGCCCAAAAATTTCGTTACTTTTGGGTTAAGGTCATCCAAGTACCTGTTTCAGTTCTGCCTCATCTGAAAGGTGCTATCCAAAAAGCCTTTGGGATAATAATTAAGACGCATGATGCTTTTGCAGATCCGATTGCCCCGGACCTGTGGAACGTGAGATTTAAAATGAAAGTTTCAGCCAGAGTGTGGTATAAACAACACTTGATCATCGATCTGAATGATGATGGGTGGGTGGACCTCAACATCGTCTCCCCGGATACCGCATGGTGTAAAAAATACCGTCGTTACTTCCATTCAGAGACAGATGAGTCATGTCCGATCAGAATGAGGTTTTTAGGACGCAACAAGTCCTTTAAGGAGGCGGTGGTCTCTGATAGCCCCAGTGAGATGGGGAGAAACAAAGCCTCCACAGATGGCAAGAGTCTCGAGATCCAACAACATCCCAGTGATCCTAGGGAAAAGGCGGATGATGGGTCCCCCAATCCAGAGGATCATGTAAAGAGTAACTCTGTCCCCCAGCAGAAGAACGGAAGTCTGAAAAAACTTCGAGCATCAACGAAAAAAATCCAGCCCCTTCAGGCTTGGAAACAGAAAAGAACACATTCTCAGACAAAAAATGAAAAGGGGAACACCCCTTCATCCTCACGGGATTCGTCGAAAACAAAGGAATGAGAGGAAGGGGGGCTAAAGGGAGGTACCGGAGAGGAAGAGGGGGTCGAAGCAAATGAACAGGGAGGGAAGGAGGAGGGGCAGGATCATTCGGAAATTAAGAGTTTAGGCTCTCAGGATATGGACATATCCTGTTCCTCCCACTTCATCCCCCCCCTGGCTCATGTCTCCCCCCCCCCCCCCCCCCCCCCCCCCCCCCCCCCACTCGAGGACTGAACCCCAACCCATTCTGTTCCCCCCCCTCGCGGTCATCCCTCCCCCAGAAGTGAAGGATGAACTAGGGGTGGGCAAGATCCATGCATCCAAGAACATCAGCTCACGAGATTCGACGAAAACAAAGGAATGGGAGGAAGGGGGGCTAAAGGGAGGCACCGGAGAGGTGGAGGGGGTCAAAGCAAAGGAACAGGGAGGGAAGGAGGAGAGGCAAGACTAGTCGGGAATGAAGAGTTTAGGCTCTCAGGATATGGACATACCCTCTGCCTCCCACCTCATCCCTGACCCCCCCTAGTTCCAGTCCTCTCCTCCCCCTCCCCCCCCCCTGGGCCCCCCACTCGGGGACTGAGCCCCACCCCAATCTGCTCCCCCCCCTTTGCGGTCATCCCTCCCTTAGAGAAGAAGGATGAACCAGGGGTGGGGAAGATCGAGGCATCCAAGGATGACAGTTACAAACCAGGGTTCGCTGCTACTGTAACAGTACCGACCTTTGGTGCGGCTAACACTGATTCTCCAGCAGGGCAGCGCAAGAAGAAGAAGGGTCAGAAAGGGAGCTCAGAAGGTATCCCAGATCCCCACATGAATCTATCTTTCAGCGTCCCAGAACCAGATTCCGGTCACTCCAAGAAGCTCAAGAATAATGATGCAGTGGCAGTGCCGCAACAGAACTCCCTGGAATACGAAGGGGAATGCCAGAATCATTCTCCTACTCGTAAGAAAAGGCTATAGTCCCTCAAACAGACAAGGAAATCGTTGAGCTTTGCTGTGCCTATGAAGACAGTATCTAAAAAGGAAAAGAATACCAGAAAAATATCACAACTTTTGATACCTCTTATCTGCTCCAAAATGGACTCGGGGGCTGGGATCCTGGTTCATAAAAATCAGAGTGGAAACAACAGCCTCCTGTCCATCTTGATTCAGTCCCAAACCGAGGACAATTAAATAATCAGCACAGTTAACTCAGAAGTCCTAAAGGGAACAGGGGAGGTGAAAGCCCCCCTGCTGTTCAGCGGGAGAAGCCATGCGATCTCAGCAAGCACAAAGGAAGTAACTCTGTTACATATTGCAGTATTGAGCCTAAACTCGTGGTCCCCTGGCACAGACAATCCAAATGTACAACCTTCGTGCTGGCTGTGCCTTTCCCCACTGCTTGCAGTGCCTGCAACCGAATTCGCGAAGTTATCAATCACACCTGGCCTCTCGGCCAGCCACATTGCGGACTGGCTTACGGGTTCTGAGCTTCAAGATTCCCTGGTCAGTGAGGAAATTCAGAACAAACTTCACCCTTTTGACATTTCACGTTGTGTCTCCTTGACAACCCTTGACCTCATCCAGCTTAATAGCGGCAGTGACCTCACTGATGGTCCTGCCAAACAGGATTAAAGTGGTTAGCTGGAATATTAGAGGGTTGGGTGAAACCTCCAACCAGGAAAAAAAACCAATGTTCAGATCAAGGTCACACAATGACAACCCACACATCATATGTCTGCAAGAAACGAAGTTGAACTCAGAAAAAATAACAAACAGCAACAGATGGTGGTCTGACCCCCAATTCTGGGCACCAGCGGACGGAACAAAGGGAGGGGTGACTATCCTAATCCACAATGACCTAGAGGTTGAGGTTCTTTACTCCTATCATGACCCTGGGGGTAGATGGATCTGGGTAAAGCTAGCAGTGGGTGACAAGGATTGGGCCGTCATGACTATATACGCCCCGGTGGAATACGCTGAAATATTTTTTTTTTTTGCCACACTGCCGACTTTCATCCCAGACGTGGAAAACCTAATCATAGCAGGTGATTGGAATGCCACCCTCAACCCGGGCCTTGACTCCCCCATCCGCGCTGACGCCACAATGTTATCCTGACTTATGGAAGCACAATGCATGACAGACATCTACCGAACACTTAACCCCGATTCTCCGGGCCATACATGGTATGGACCCAAGCCAACCACCCATATCTCCCCTCCTAGCAGGAGACTGAATCTGATTTTGGCAAGAGGGGTGTTGTGGGACCATTGCTCCTGGTGCGATATTTTGAACGAACACTTGTTAGACCACTACCCCGTGGCTACGGAAGTGTTAGCCAAAGAACAGTTCGAAAGGGTCAGACCCCCTTTCCGACTCAACACGTCCATCCTCAAGGATCCAGGAATTCCGAACTGGGTCAAGGACCAAATGAAGAAATTGATGGATGCCAAGGACCTATTCAATAATGCATAAGCCTGGACAGAAACAGGCATCCTCACGGCTGCCCTCAAGATCTTTTCAAGAATGAAGGCTGCGAATAGAAACTGAATTGATAATTGCACCAAGAAAGCGATAACTGAAGCTGAAAACAACATGGGAAATGACCCCTTCTCAGACCACTACTGCTCCAAGAAACGTCTAGAGAATATAGTGGCCCTAGAAGCACTAAAACTTAAGAAACAAAAAGACTGGCTCAAATTGCTTAAGATCAGAGGACTGGTAGGCTTTGACAGGATGACCAATGAGACTTTTAGATCCCTCATCCTTAAACAAGCCAAGCCACCCCTCAGAGAATTATGTCATCCCTTCAATCATTAAGAACCCTTGGCATCCATCACTGAGGAAATGTGTAAATATGCCAAGGATTACTTTATGGACATTGTCTCCACTAGGAGACCGCAGGATGGGTATGACAAAGATCTCTCGACAATTTTTGAATTTTAGAGGGGTATCCAAATATCAGTCCCCCCCTGCTCCAGAGACTCACTAGGGCAACCTTTCACCTCACAAGAACTGCTGCAGGCAGCCAAAAAAATGGCAACAGGTAAATGTCCAGGCATTGACGGTCTGCCCATTGAGCTGTACCTCAATGCCTGGGAAGCCTTTGCCCCTTTTCTGTGCCAAATTTTCAATGGCACACTCACCTCTGGAGAGCTACCTAAGGGTTGGCTAATAGGGGTGATATCTCTCCTCTACAAAAAAGGGGACAAGAGGGAAGTGAGAAACTTTCGCCTCATCTCGGTACTCAATGTTGCGTATAAAATTTTGGCCAAGGCCCTAGCAATGAGGTTGGAAAATGCCATACTGGACCTGATAGGCATAGAACAAGGGGCATTCGTTAAGGGCAGATCCATCTTTGACAATATTCTATCAACCATCCAAGCACTTGAGGTGCTGGTCGAGGAACAACTAAACGTGGCGGTACTCCTCCTAGATATGGAAAAGGCCTAAGACAAAGTGGGGTGGGCCTTCGTTTTCACCTCCCTGACTAAAATGGGCTTTGGGAAAATTTTCTGCACTTGGGTAAAGGCCATGTACACAGAGGCCACATCGGTGATAATAGTAAATGGACGCCTCTCCCCTAGCTTCCCACTGTCGCGTTCCCTCAGACAAGGGTGTCCTCTAGCCCCCCTATTATTCGTTCTACAACTAGAGGTCCTGATGCACAACATCCGCAACAATGACGCCATAGCAGGACTTAACATCCCCCTTTCCATTGTATGGAAAGGGGGCGCACTAGCAGACGACCTCACCATCGCCTGTGCCAACAAACCTTCTTCCTTCCACGCCCTGAGAAACGTCCTTAACGAGTACTGTCACTTGTCGGAAGCCTCCATCAATTGGGAAAAGTCTGCTTTCCTACTCCCAGACCCCTTTGAGTTATGTGTGGATTGGGGCCTAAAAAAAGTCTCATCTAATAGCTCAGACAAATTCCTTGGAGTCCAGATCTCCCTCTCCAACTGCTCGGCCATGCAAGACGCCATATTGGTGAAAAACGTTACGGCGCGGATCATGGGCTGGGTTAGGAATTTCATATTATCCTTGTTCGGTAGAGCCTTAGTGATATCGACAGCAACGTTCTCCATACTGTGGTTCCCACTGACGGTCCACCTACTAGGCGAGGAAGCGTACCGCAATATCAAATATGTGGCGGCAAGATATATCTGGAAACCCGCTACAACAAACATACAAGTCTACTTGAGCAAGGTAACCTGGGACTCAATCTGTCTCCCAAGGGAACAAGGTGGGCTAGGCATACTAGATCCGAAACATCAAAACGTGGCCTTGCTGGCCAAATGGCCGGTACTAGCGATGCAGGACTCCAAGCTAAAATATTGAAAAACATTCGCGGAATTCATCTTAATGAGGGAGTGGAACCTGTCCCACCCGTCACACGTATGGCTCTGTTTCTTTATCAAGTCCTTTTGTAACATACAAATTAAGTACCCCACGTGGGGGAATATTTTAACAGCATGGAACAAAGTACAACCCACTAGGCTAACTGAACCGACTACCAAAACGCAGATCCTGAACTAGATTCTATTTGAAAACGATCTGATTAGGCTCTCGGACACCTCACAACTTAAAGCGGATACGAGCCCGGGCTCATTCGGTAAAGCATGGATCGAAATAGGCATTATTCAACTGAAGAATATATGAGATATGCAATCCAACGACTGGATCTCCTTAGAGGAGTTGAGAGCAAGACTCCCCAGAGTTCACAATTTGGCTCAGAAATTCGCAAAAGTGCAGGTTGCGGTGCCTGCACACTGGATCGCTGCATTGCAACCAGCCTCGGAGTGGGCCCCAGGCGCTTGGCTTCTAGATCCAGGGGAATCATACATAATCTGAAAAATACTGGGTCCAGGACTAAGGTGCGAGATCAGAGCCCAAAAGTGGAGGTTAGCCAGGCACACTACGTCAGATAGCCTGCTCAAGTAATGTGATGAATCCCTAATCAGTCAGACGGGGGAATGGAAAGAGGCCCGAGTATTGAAAACCCCGGGCAACAGGAAATCTATCTGCAGGATCCTTCCTCTACAAGTAAACTCAATAAGCATTGAACCACTGCAATTCGGGTGGAACAACTCGCCCCCCACTCCGGCAGCTCCCAACTCAATGAGCCTACCCCAGTGATTTACTATAAACCAAAAAACGGGGTTCGGGCTCTGAGATGCAAGCTAAAAAAGAATCCCCTCACGACAGTTAGGAGAAGGCTAGCGCAACAACAGATGACTCAAATCAGGGACACTGACTTATTTAATCTTTGGAAGGTCCTTAAAAAGATGCCCTCCTAAAGAAATGCAACAATCCTATGGCTACAGTCTCTACAGGTGACCGCCACAGCGGTATTCCAAGGGTATGAATATACCAGACACATGTGCAGGATGCAACTGGGCCTGGGAAACAGCCCCACACCTTTGGCTCCATTGCCCCCTATCGCGAAATGTATGGGAATGGTGGAAAGAAAAATGGAGACTAATGGGTCTCTCAGATAAAGTGTGGACAGACTTATTCATTCTTCAAGGAGTTCAGGAAGGGTCGGGCCCTATAGCTATGGGCGTGAATTACATGGCTAATATCTTCAGAGGGATCATCCTGGAAGTCGTCTGGTGGAGAAGGAACCAGCTCCTTTTCATGAATGAGACAAGAAACATTCTTCATGTGTTCAATAGGATTCGAGTTGAGATCAGGATTACAGTTCAGGCTGATTGACGCTCCAAAGACCATTCGTGGTTTATGAATACCCGGGCTTTCAAGAAGGTCTACGCCTCAGTTTCAGAAGAAGACTGACTTTTCCTAGCAGATTGGCTTATGAAGGATCACTCGCCCTAAGATGGGATAGCATAGCATCGTTGAGTCAAATTGATGAATTAGGTTTAACCTTTTTTTGCTACTTGCTCATTTGTAAGTCCAGTTGACATTTTGTTATTCTAAAAGTAGTTGCTTTATGGGACGTTGGACCCGGTTTCCAGCACAAGCCTAAGCTTGGTATTGGCCCCAATTTTTCCTCCGGATTGTAATGTTGAGGTTTTCCCGGCCTCTACTCTCTTTGGAAATAAAGCAATTGTTGAAATTAAAAAAAAAAAAAAAAACACCTTTTTCGTTTGGATTTTTGAAAATTTTTGAAATGTCCATGAAGTTTGCGTTTATTTGCGATGTGCCCCTCTCGACGACCGACTTACTCTGATATGCCCCTGGGCCTCTGAACTTTCGTGCAGGCCCCTGTTAGTGAGGGGCACAATGTTTCGGATTGCCCCTATAGGACCGGTGGTCCTAGTTCCCCTGCTGCCTGTCCGATTTGCCCTTTTGTGGGGGACGCATCTTCCTGAGATGTCCTCCCCCAGGGAGACACTAAGAATTTGAATTCAAACCGGGCGAGGCCGCAGCGCAAAAAAAAGGGTTGCACTCCATGTCGTGTCCGCTGCTGCAATCCACCGTGCAGTGCATTCTTCAGCTACTGCGACCCACTGCCCCCTTGGATGTCCGCGGAGTACGTTGGCGAATGTGAGTGTTCCTCCCCTTCTTCCACCTCTCTCT